ATCACATCATATCATATTGATATGATAGTGATATGAATTTTTTTGGAAAGAGGCGATTGAAAGATGAATCCGAAAAAACTATTAAAATAAAGGCAAAATGATGTACGGGTGGTGATGTGGTATAATCTCAGCGATTCATATTCAGATATTGTCATGGAATACCAATGGTAAGATATGTTCAAGTTTCAACTGCTCAGAAATCTTTGTTTGTTCATAACGGAACTGAAGTTGCACAATCGAGAAGACAAACNTGGTGATGTGGTATAATCTCAGCGATTCATATTCAGATATTGTCATGGAATACCAATGGTAAGATATGTTCAACGTTCAACTGCTCAGAAATCTTTGTTTGTTCATAACGGAATTGAAGTTGCACAATCGAGAAGACAAACTCGGAATCACATCGAAAAGCGACAAACCTCCGAATACGTATCGATCTGCGGTACGGTTGTGCTTGTGCGATACGCCCCATCAACAGTGGTCATTGTACCGTTTCGATGATACGGCAACACGTCCGGCACCAAAACTGGTGTTGGGAGTTGTATATAGCCTGGTGGTGGAGGCATTATCATGGCTTGTGATGAACGGGTGGCTGCCGATAGCGCGTACGAGTACTGCCTGCAAAAGTATTCGGTATCTTAACTTATACATTAGCTGCAATTATATAGGTTCCGCAGTTTATTTGATCATTTGTTTGCTCAATTATTTTGTTATTCCTTCAAAGATACATCTATAAGTTCATGAACCTGTGCAATCGCTAAACTAACGATCGAAATCAGCAGATTTCCATCAGAATGGATGATTATCTACGTTAAGACTGTTAGCTGTCTTAAGGAAGTAAGTATACCAAGGAAGAAAGATGGTTCTGATGCTTGTGATATTGGTGATTGGTGTGATTTAGGATCGAGAGATATAGTCTCNTAATGCATACGAACACATTCAACTTTCGAGAAGTTGTACTCAACAATGAAATGTAACAAAAGGTTTCGTGAGTGATATCCGACTCACCTGGAAAAAGTTTGCATTTGTTCAGTGTTAATGCTGTGTCCACCGGTGGGTATATAATAAATACTTCCCACATCCTCTTCCATATCAAAGCAATAACAACAACAATCATCGAATAACGATTGCAATGATTTACAGAACGATGGCACTTGTTCGGTCAAAAACATCATCATACTGAAATTATTGTTAATTTGAAAAATGGGAACGATCTGAGAAATTTATAGAGTACTAATTCACATTCCTTGAGAATGTAAGTGACTTTTTAAATTCTGGTGAAAATTTCGTGTAGACCTCTCATTTTAAACAACTGCAGGTCACACACACTTAAAACTTTTTTTCAGTTTTCACGTTACACTTATATCCTCACTTTGGAAGAGTTAATTTGTATATAAAAGCTTAGAAATGGAATGAAATTTCTCCTAAGCGAAAATAACTTACCTTGGAAGGAAGAGCAGAAAATGAGCATATGAAATAACTGATGTAAGGAATAGAATCTTGAAGATATGTACAACAATTGGAACATCAATATACAGAAGAGGTAGGTAGGTTAGAAGTGGTATGAAACACGCGAACGTTACTGGTAAAAGGCATGACTGAAAATTTATTTTTGCAACATCTTGAGACGATTTCATTAATCTTTAATATGATATCACAACGTGTTCTATTATTATGACAAGTTCTATCACCACTCTAATTATTAGTATCAATATTGATATGAGTACTGTTAACATTGCTAGTATTCCAAATTTTCAAAAATTGCACACTCAATCATCAGTCCCCCCAAAAAATCGCCTTCAAATCCACACATTC